ACCCTCCAGTTCCATCCACGTCGTTGCAAATGGCAAGATCTCATTCCTTTTGGTGGCTTCATAATATTCCATTGTATATATATACCACATCTTTATCCATTCATCTGTCGATGGGCATCTTGGCTGTTTCCACAGTTTGGCTATTGTGGACATTGCTGCTATAAACATTGGGGTGCACGTACCCCTTCGGATCCCTACATCTGTATCTTTGGGGGTAAATACCCAGTAGTGCAATTGCTGGATCGTATGGTAGCTCTATTTTCAACTTTTTGAGGAACCTCCATACTGTTTTCCAAAGTGGTTGCACCAGGAGCTGATGAATATTAAAACCAGAGAGTGCGATGTTTCTCGGTGAAGGTTTCTGTGAGAGTGTGCATGTGTTGTGCTGGGAAGGAGTTACGTCTGTGCCTTCATGCATATTATTGATGTCCCTAACTAGAGAGACTGTGAAATGGTTAAAGACTTTTTTATTTGTTTTTTTAAAGATTTTATTTATTCATGAAAGGGAGAGAGAGAGCAAGCAGGGAAAAGGCAGAGGGAGAGAGAGAAGCAGGCTCAATCCCAGGACCCTGAGATCATGACCTGAGCTGAAGGCAGACACTTAACCGCTTAACCGACTGAACCAGCCAGGCGTTCCTGGTTAAAGACTTTAATGTCCACAGGGGCTGAAGCCAGGGAGAAAGGTACATGCTAAAAGTTTAATGTTGGGAAGCCAGGAGTATTCCAGAGCCCAGGGATTCTGCCCCGCCGGAAGCCTTTTTTGATTTTATGTAGTTGGAAGTTTCATCTTACAAAATACCCTATAAGCTATACAATCCTTTCAAGATGATCGCTCAGCTGGCGGAGGGGGTAGAGGAGGGGACAAATGCATACCAGAGAGCCCACAGCACCAAGATGTAGTTCAATGTGCGATACCCCGTTCCTGTTACTTATTCATTTATTTAGGTGACAGAGACTTTATTTGGAGAGGGAGGCAAGTATGGAGGAGATCAGAGCTCCTGAGAAACTAGGTTTCGTGCAGGTCCTGAAGACCTTGCGGTGGTGTTGGCCGGATACCCAAGTGCCCATTTCATCACAGATTAATTGGGGAATTCAGGTGCGTTGGAAGGCCACTTGAATTGGGGGATTTACGAAACACTGAAAAGGATCAGTGAAAGAAAAGCAGAATTTCTGAAACAGTACATTTGTCTTGCTTTCCCTCCGGAGAGAGCTTTTAAAAAGGCCATTGTCGTTGTTCTGGAGTTGATTTGAAATTTCCGCCTACTGTAGAAGCTTGCTTCCCTGTGCTGTGTTGGCAGGTTTGCGCCCCGCCGCAGGCTGACTCCTCCTCGTTTACTCAAGATTGTTAACTCCACTGAGCGCTCCCTTGTTCCTCATTCACACAACCACTTGTGTTTGTGCTTCACGGTTCCACGAAAGCGCTGCACCACAAGAGATGGAAGGGGGTGGACGTGCAGCTTGTTTTTAGGAGATTTTTGGGGAGTTGGGATGTTACCTTAGCTCCTATTCCTTACATGCACCGCACGGCTGGCAGATCCCTGAGCACTTTATTTAGTGGGGAGGGGAAAGGCTCTGAAGGACG